TCAGCTGTCACTGGTCTGGTTATTTAGTGCATTCACCTCCCAGGAGCGAGAACAGGACAGTCTCAGGCTAAGAGACGGCCACATACAGCATGTCCATGGTAAACTATTTTCTACCTCAGTTACTTACAGGGGAAAAGAACAGAACGTCATTAGGAAGCAGTGCAGATTAACTATTTACAGTGACTGGGAAAACCACGATGGTTGAACTGAACCGCCTGAGAGACCAGCACTCTCTCCAGAGCAAAGCAGTTCACAGCAACCAAGACAAGAAGGGGGAAATGTCCACACGTTTTGTTTTTGAAGTAAAACAACAAAAGCAGCTCATGAAAAAGCCTGTGGGAAAATAAAAGGAAACTAATCAATTATTGCAATAAGTATCTTTAATGAGATGAGCCAACTGCACATACAAAGAGACAACTCCTGCCGGAGCTACCAGCTCTGTGCACACCTAGGACAGACATTAATTCACATCCAGCGAGCCAAGTAGAAGCACATGGGTCACTGCTCACAAACTCAACATAGAGGAAAGGGTGATTCTTACGGGCGTGACTAAGCTATCACCATTAACCAAAGGGAGTGGGGGTATTTTGAAGAGGGAAGTGGACAGGGTCCCCATGAGAAAATCCTTCTGGGGGTGGCTATTGGATGGCACCCTGAGATGCAGCCTGGCTAGTCTGGCCCCAGGTGTCTCACCCCTTCCCACCCTGGCAGCGTCATTGGGGTTGGGGGGCAGGGCCAGAATAGCCAGGGAGATGAAGCTGGGGAAGGAGAAACCAGTGGGGATCAGTGTCCATGGGTCCCACATGTGGCAGGGCCAGGGTGACTACACTATCCCTTCTCAAAGACAGATGAGCTTATTATGGCAACAGCCACCAAGAGACTGGCCCCAAAGGACAGCGACAATCAGACTGTGTTTGCACAGCTGCTCTTTCAGACTCCATTTTCCACATGCTTTTATAGATGGAGCTGCGTGTGTTCACTTTTGCCACTATGCACCAGGACACAGGTGCTCCAAATCACACAGCACTTAAAAGCTCACCCTTCACCCCACGAGATGCCCAGCAGGCCTGTTTGATCATATTCTAAAAAGGCAGTATCTTCTTTCTGGATTTTCCCGAGGAGTCGCTACTATATTTGAGAGTAGTTCCCTATATTCTCAGGGGTTGGGGGATAGAGCTGGTCACAATGCATTCAGGAAGCAAAATGGGAGGCGATTGGAACATAAAGTTTTCTAGGACAAAGCAAAACAAAACAAAGCAAAGAAATGATGTCTTTTCCAGGAGTTTAAATCTGAAAAATAATGTTCATTCATTCAATCAGGCAGCTAGGATAGACTTTCAGTGGGCCTGGCCAGCAGTTGGGTTGCTCTGGCAGGAGTATGTCCTTTCGAGAAATGATGGCAACCCCCCATTTGTTATGCCTCTCTTAAGAACTCGCTGACAAAAATGACATCTCCTGAAATCAGCATATAGTCTGCAAAGTGAAATAAGAACAGAAATTAATAGAGCGAATAGAAATAAGAAACCCAGAAGGGGCAATGCAAAGAAGAGAGCAGACCACTGATGACAGAATCACAGTTCCAGACTGAATGGGAGTACTGAGGAGACAGACTCCTGGGCACTAGAAGCAGGAACTATTTGCAAAGTGGCTGGCCACCACCCAGCCTTCCTAGAAATGAGCTCCTTGGACCCCAATACTGTCCAAAGGTGTCCAGCCCCTCTCTCAGAACACCTTGTTTGCTATCAAGGAACCCTAAAGGTGGCTGCAGAGGCTAAACCTGTTTAACCTGGCTTATGCAGCCTGAGGAGATCTGCTGCGATCGCATGCCACACAGGTGGGGTGAGACCTGGACTCCAAGCAGCCGAGATGTATGCAAAGGTAAATCCAGGTACAAAGAACACTTTGCAAGGGATCAGGCTGCATTGTCCTAAGGAGGACCCAGGCTCCTAGCTGGTGAGTGAGAAGCAATAGGATGGAGGGTCTGGGTGGCTTCAGGACCTGATAGACTGTCATTTCTTTCAGCTGTCTTCCAGGTCCACTATAATGATCTCAGACGGGCTGAGTGGTAAGTTTGGGACCCACACACAGCCTCAGAGGCTGGAAATGGGAAGTGGGCACACAGAGAGGACACTGAGATCAGAAAGGAAAGACAACAGAAAGCTTGGTAGCGATGACAACTGTGCCAATGTCAGAAAGTGACAGGATCCCCAGGGCATGGGAACTGGTCCAAAGAATCACCCAGACAAGGCAAAGAGAAGGCAGAGAGTTGGGCCACCTGCATCTCCCACTGCCTTCTCAGCCACATCCACTGCAAACATTCCTTATGGTGCGAGATGAGAGTGGAGCCAGAGCATTCCAAACATCTTTGCCTTAGTAGCCCACTAAGGCTCAGACTCTAGAAGAACCATATTTGGTTCTTGAAGGACTGACCACACCTTAAACTCCTCACTGGAGGGACACAGGAGCCACCCTGGGTTTTATGTCTAGAACCACCAGAGAGTTGGTGGGGTGTTGGGACAAGCAGATGAGGTCAGTGATCTACGAGGGGCAACTCTTAGGGGTGGGGTGAAGGCTGGGTTACTCATATCTCCTCAGGGACAGGCACTTTACCCTGGTGGCCATAGGATAAGAGAAGTCAAGAGGCATCAAGATGTGACTAAGAGGGATGGGAAATGGAAAGTATGATAACCTAGAATGGATTGCTCACCCTATGGGCCAGGAAGTGCTATCTGACCACTTTTCAGGTTGATTTCTACCTTACTCAGCCCCACTGATTATGCTAAACTGAGGGGCTGATGCCAAGACAAACAGCATCTCCATGCACAGTCACTGGACCCACCTCTTGGCCAACCCCTGGGTCCCAAATCTCTGGCTTCCCAGGAAGGACTGGTCATCTCAGGAACACCAATTCCTCATCCTAGGAACACCTGCCTAGCCTTGGCATGGTCACTGTTGCAGGCCTGTCTGTCTGGGGCAGATGGAGGGATGTGGGTAAGAGAGACAAAGTTCTATGAGATGCTTCCTGAGCTGGATCAGTGGGTGACCAAGGACAGTTCTCAAATGAGACAAGGGTCTTAGCACAGGGTCCATTTCACTGTCCCCAAATTATTCTTTATTAAGTTCCCCAACTCTGCATGCACATACCTTGTGTTGTAACACATCTCTTCTCTTAAGCCCTGAAACAGTACCGAGTGACAGAACTCTCAGTGGGTTAAACACCCTATATGCCACTCCCAGGGCAGCCACCAGCCTATCTGGCTGCCGAGCCAGGGGAATAAGGCCTGTGTGATTGGAGAGCTCAGTTTTTCCTGTCTACTGAATTTTAAGATTTATTTATTTTATGCATATGAGTGTTTGTAAGTGCATCACATGCATGCAGTGCCTGCAGAAGTCTGAGGAGGGCATCAGATTTCCTGAAACTGGAGTTATAAATGACTATTAGCTGCCATGTGGGTGCTGGGAACCAAACCTGGATCTTCTACAAGAGCAGCCAGTGTTCTAATTGCTGAGCCATCTCTCCAGCCCCTTTCCACTGAATTCTAATTACTATAGACCTAAATTTTAGTGGCTAGTGTTACCTAGTGAACAAACAGATGCTTGGCTGACCGTGGAGTGTGAAAGTTAGGACCCCAATAGCCAAGGCCCAGCCTCTTGCTCACTATGACTAACTCCCCTTTTCTCTCTGTGCCTTAGGGTCTCTATCTGCAGTGGGGACAACTTAAGGCCAGTGCTGGCTTAAGTAGAGCTCCTCTATACTTCAGGTCCAGGACCTCAGGTCATCAGAAGCCACATTCAGCTGCAGGGAGGCCTTGGGGGTGACCACCAGAGATTCGTACCAACAGTACCTCTCAAAAGGGGAACCTGCCTAGGCCCTAGGGGAGCCACCCTACTCATCCCTCTGTCTTGAACTTGTCACTGTATCTACCTCCCTTCCTCTGACCTTCATACCTGGAGAGGTGCACTGACCCTCTTAAGGGCCCACCCAACCTCCACTTACAGATAAGAGGGCAACTTGCCATAGCTACTTGTCCAACTGGTGCTAGGACCAGGACAAGGTTTCTAATATTGGCAGAGTCACAGTGAACGGCTGCCCCAGATGCTTTCTGTCATAACTCCATCTCAAAGACTGAGATGCTGGCCCAAACCCCACCCCCACCCCTTCTGGCTCCTCAATCTCAGAGAGCCATCCCCCAGGGCAGCTTTCTGCTCTGTCTGCTTATCACTTCTCCCAGATCCCAAGAGGCGACATGCCAGGAGAAACTCCCAAGCCTAGGCACTAAGTACAGCCTCCTCCTTGGCAGAGGACGGACTTCCTGACATCACTGGCCACTTTATCTGACCTATGACCCCAGCTTACTAAGCACCCCAGTATGTTTCCATTTGTACTACATGACTGGGGAAAGAGCTTTATCACACAAGTAAAGCCAAAGCCCTAAAGCTTCGCCTCCTGCAGCATCCTCCCCCATCTCCCCAAGACCCACTACACCCACTCAGAGCTGGAGCACAAGGGCATGTGCAGGCAGTATCCGCACTTTGTCTTGAGCTCTGATGTCCAGCCAGAGTGGAATGAGGATCTGCAGAGCCCATTCAGGGTGTAGAGCACACCTGATCCTAGCAGTACCTCACCAATGTACACCAGAAGAGCCCAATGCTGAAGCAGTCGGAGCTGAGAAGGAGAAGAGGAGGAAGAGAAAGAAGGGCAGGAGGCATTAGACCTGTGGATGTAGAGACAGGAGAGGCAGGCAGCAGTGGGGTAGTGGAAGAGGGTAACAATTCTGTGCCCAGAGTGCAGCTCCTGAACGAACAGGCTTTAGGAAAAGGAGGTGAGCAGAGGGGGCTGCCTGCTTCTGTAACCCGGAATTGCACAACCTTCAGCCAGAGGGGACTTGGAAGGCAGCACACACAGGTATGCAAGTTGAGTTCTTTTGAGGGGCACGTCTCTGCCCCCAGATACAGCCCACCTCCCAAGTTTCCAAAGCCCCAGAGTCTAAGCTACTCACCTGGGAACTGGTAGCCATAGCTAGGAGCAAATCCGGGGTAGCCTCTGCCATAGGTTGCCACAAAGTTGGGGTAGCCTTGAACACAGACAGAAAGAGAAAAAGAGCTGTCAGACAGTAGTGTCTGGGGTGAAATTCCAGGGAGGGTGGCTGTGACGATCAGCCACAATTATTCTTTACAGAATGATGTGTCTCCCAGTAGTCTATCTAGGCCCTGGATCCCCTTTCTCCTGTGGCTAGGGGTGTGACTGTCAGCCTGCTGGTAATTAACCCATATTTGGGCAGCCAGACCTCCTGAAGTCCACACACGTCCTGAACCTGCAGAGTAAATGCCACACAGAGAACCAAACACAGAACTTGCATTTGGCTCTGACATTTGGAGAGCTTACCCAGAATGTACTTTACCTTAAAGCTGTTGACAGTAGGAGATTAAAATCCTTGTACTGCCTCCTTCTGTGGCAGTGGACAAGGGCCAGAGTACCCCTCAGGGCAGGGGTTCTTGGGAGATGGCAGTTTAGTGGCCACACTGAGGGCTGACCCTGGGCTTAGCAAGCCATGGCTAGGGGAGGTAGAAGCCATGTCCTAGCACAGATGCTCCACAGCAGGGTCAAAGACGATAAAAGACCCGAGGGAGGGAGGGAGGGAG